CCTCCCTGATATCTCTCATTGGCCGCTGAAGCAAGGCGTTGAAAAATGCCAGCTCGATTGGTCTGCAATGACGCAACAGCTGAGTAGCGCAATTGGCCCGTCTGAGCCACGTGGGCTAGATCAACCAATCGTACTAAAATCAATAAAAAAAAACTAACGCACGCACACACATGCCGATTACATCGTTAGACGCGTCTAAAAGTCAGCTTTAGAAAGCATTAATAAAAAAAAATGAAATTTTTCGATTTTTAGCCAGTAGGTCCCCTTAAGGGGAGCGTCTGGGTCCAAAATCGATAATTTTGGCTTTTCCGGTTTTTCATCTCATCTTAAAGCTGATATTCTGACCTATCCAACGATACCAAAATCATCTCCGTACGTTGATTTATGCGTTAACGACAGATCGAGAAAGAATAAGGGTTGGTGGAGTTCTTTAACATTTAACATAGGGAGTAAATGCATCAGTGCACTTTAAATAGCTAGTCTTCACACTCTCCGATCCAGTAACCCTGCAACAGTCGTTAGGAATTGTTCTCGCTCTGTCGCTCCCACCATCCATGACAGAGATTTAGCTCCAGTATCGTCTGGTCTTGCATCCTTGCAACCGTGAATGCCGATTTCGAGGCGTCCCGGACCTGAACAATCGCACTTATTGTTACTGGAACCTAGTACTCCTCCTAGAGTTTTGAAGCTACAGCGATGAAACATACACCATTCGATTTGCAATTAAAATATCTAGAGATTGGTCTATGCGTTTTTTCAATTTCGTTATAGTTTTGAAAATATTCTGAAAAAAACGGGGGAAAAGGGGGAAAATTGAAAAATTTTCGAAAATTTTGCAAAAAATGCTCCTCCATCCACAAAAATTCGAAAGAAACGAAGAAGAATAGATAGATATGGTCCTTACGCATTGAACGATATGCGTCTTGATGTTGTAGCTTCAAAATCCTAGGAGGAGATAGAATTCTATAGTACCCCTTTTTTGCCGTTTTCTAAGAATTCCACGTTTTCTTTCATTTTTCCGAAAAATTTACACGAACAAAAAAGTCTTAGAATTCTGTTTTACATAGGTGAACCAAGTTTCAAAGTGATCCGTCCATAAATAAAAATTTTTTTGACCACCCAGAAGCTCCTCTTATGGGGGGCGTCTACCCTCCAGAACAACTTCCACATTTACGAACGGATCTTTCTGAAATTCCACACATTTATGTGAAACCGAAATACAAGCAGATTTTGTTCGTATGATTTTTTCGGAAAATTAATAGAAAACGTGAAATTCATAGAAAACCGACTCCAACTCGACAATAGGAATGCTGTTTATTTTTCATTTCCTTACTTTGGTTCCGCTTCGGAAACTATGGTTAACGCTTTGAAAGTTTTGTTTTCTACATTTCATGCTATGCACTCAGAATTTGAATTTTTAAGCAATACCCTTTCACTAAATGGGTTTTCGTCGTAATTGGTGTATTCTAAAATTAAAAAATTGTTGTCTAAACAATATTCTGAGGTTGTTTCCGAACTCGACAATAGGAAAGCTGTTTATTTTTCATTTCCTTACTTTGGTCCCGCTTCGGAAACTATGGCTAACGCCTTGAAAGTTTTGTTTTCTGAAAACCTCCAAATGCGAAAATTCATATATTACTGGTGAATAATTTTAGAAACAGTTATTCTTTCATGTATAAAGATACACTCCCTGTTGTTATACGATCGTCCCTAATTTAACAGTATAGTTGTGCCCAGTGCGCATCTGCGTGTGTCGCTATAACTTATCGTAATTTTTACACTAAGCTGGCGGAGCATGAAGGACGAAATTTTAGAGCAAGAAACATACTTGCGCATCCTTCTCATTCAGCAGAACGCGTTCATGCCGAGCAATGCAACGTCCGGTGTCCGATAGGGATTTTAGAGTTTTAGCCTCCACAACCGGGGTTTCTGACCTGCGAATTTTAGAGTCCCTGAATCCCAGTATATTAAAAAAACCTAGTCTACATACCGCCTACAGTCCATATCCCCTGAAAATTGTAAAAAGATAGGTTTGTCTGCTCATGTTCACCTCAATCTTATTTGTTTTCATTTGACAATTTATGGGTCAATGTGAATTTTACTTTGCTAATTGTTTGTTCTTGTGTTTTAAGTTTTGAACTGACGATGGAGCTGGACTATGAAACGTTTTCTCGCATAAAAAATTGTGAATATTATGCCTGCCTTCATTGCTTTCTAATTCTTGATAAACTTGCGATTCAAGCAATCAAGTGATCTTATTTTCAACTTATTTCAGTTTCTAACGCCACGACTGCATGTTGAAACAACAAAATGCCGTCTAGATGAAGCTCAAAATTCCATTCAGCATACCAAAATAAAATCAAGGTTTAGTGTAGTTGGAAAATTTGTTAACCGTCTAGAGCAACTGGAGAAGGTTCATTCTTAGTAGAATTTTCTTCTTCTTTAGCTGATATTTTAATTTGAAGAGAAGCAGGTTTGCTGAGACCAAGTCTCAGTACACCTCTCTTCCTCATCACTCAGCTTGAAGGAATATTAATGTCATGACGAAGGCGGCCGATAGTAATGTACTGATGAACGTGCGATGTGACTCAAGGGATATTAAGACCATGCCGAAGGCGATAGTAGTGTACTGAGGCGATGTAACTAATGAGGTATGAAGACCATGGCGAAGGCGATAGTAATGTACTGATGCGATGTAACTAAAGGGTTATTAAGACCGTGACTAGGGCGATAGTAATGTACTGATGCGCTGTAACTAAAGGGATATTAAGACCATGGCGAAGGCGATAGTAGTGTACTGATGCGATGTAACTAAAGGGATATTAAGACCACGGCGAAGGCGACAGTAGTGTACTGATGCGATGTAACGAAAGGGATATTAAGACCATGACGAGGACGATAGTAATGTACTGATGCGATGTAACTAAAGGGATATTAAGACCACGGCGAAGGCGACAGTAGTGTACTGATACGATGTAACTAAAGGGACATTAAGACCATGACGAGGACGATAGTAATGTACTGATGCGATGTAACTAAAGGGATATTAAGACCACGGCGAAGGCGACAGTAGTGTACTGATGCGATGTAACTAAATTTTTGAATCCAAACTATGCAAAAATCTAAAAAATATAACTCAGTACTCACTGCAGTGAGTGACAGAGAGCGTATTTTCTCGTCGACGAAAACTTGAGGTCACGGACGGACGGACAGACAGACGGACATGGCGAGCACAATAGTGCATTTTTCCATAAATGAGAAAATGCGCTTAAAAGGGCTTCGTTACTCGATAGTACGAATCGAATGGTTTATGTCTCATCGCTGTAGCTTCAAAACTCTAGGAGGAGATAGGTTTGCCGTGACAATAAGTATGAATGTTCAGGAGAGCGCCACAAAGTCCCGCGCGCATCGCAATAGGCACTCAATGTAGCAAGGATACAAAACTAACCGGTAAAGGAGCTTGACTCCAGTCAAGGTGGGGTGGGAGCGACTGATTTATGTGTGGGTGAACACATAAATCAACGTACAGAGATGATAATGGTACCGTTGGATAGGGCAGAATCTCAGCTTTAAGATGAGACTACAAACCGGAAAAGCCAAAACCGAAAACTTTAGGGTAGACGCCCCCTTAACCGAAAATCGACGTTTACAGGTTAACCACCAGTTTCTTAGCTTTTGTTCTTTTCGTTTCAAATTATATGGAATTCAAACGTTAATGAACCGCGGCTTTCGTATTTGCTCTACATTTCATGCTATGCACTCAGAATTTGAAATTTTAAGCAATACCCTTTCACTAAATGGGTTTTCGTCGTAATTGGTGTATTCTAAAATTAAAAAATTTTTGTCTAAACAATATTCTGAGGTTTTTTCCCAACTCGACAATAGGAATGCTGTTTATTTTTCATTTCCTTACTTTGGTTCCGCTTCGGAAACTATGGTTAACGCTTTGAAAGTTTTGTTTTCTAAAAACCTCCAAATGTAAAAATTCATATATTACTGGTGAATAATTTTAAAAACAGTTATTCTTTCATGTATAAAGATACACTCCCTGTTGTTATGCGATCGTCCCTAATTTAACAGTATAGTTGTGCCCAGTGCGCATCTGCGTGTGTCGCTATAACTTATCGTAATTTTTACACTAGGCTGGCGGAGCATGAAGGACGGAATTTTAGAGCAAGAAACCTTCTTGCACATCATTCTCATTCAGCTGAACGCGTTCATGCCGAACAATGCAACGTGCGGTGTCCGATAGGGATTTTAGAGTTTTAGCCGCCCCAACCGGGGTTTCTGATCTGCGAATTTTAGAGTCCCCGACTCCCTGTATATTAAAAAAATCCTAGTCTAAATGCCGCTTACAGTCCATATCCCCTCAAAATTGTAAATAGATAGCTTTGTCTGCTCATGTTCACCTCAATCTTATTTGTTTTCATTTGACAATTTATGTGTTAATATCTTCAATGTGAATTTTACTTTGCTAATTGTTTGTTCTTGTGTTTTAAGTTTTGGACAGACGATGGAGCTGGACTACGAAACGTGTTCTCGCATAAAAAATTGTGAATATTATGCCTGTCTTCGTTGCTTTTTAATTCTTGATAAACTTGCGATTTAAGCAATCAAGTGATCTTGTTATTTTCAACTTATTTCACTTTCTAGCGCCACGACTGCTAGGCGATAGTAGTGTACTGATGCGATGTAACTAAAGGGGTATTAAGACCATGGCGAAGGCGATAGTAGTGTACTGATGCGATGTAACTAAAAGGATTTTAAGACCATGACGAGGGCGATCGTAATGTACTGATGCGATGTAACTAAAATGATATTAAGACCATGACGAGGGCGATAGTAATGTACTGATGCATTGTAACTAAAGGGATGTTAAGACTATGACGAGGGCGATAGTAATGTACTGATGCGATGTAACTAAAGGGATATTAAGACTATGACGAGGACGATAGTAATGTACTGATGCGATGTAACTAAAGGGATATTAAGACCATGACGAGGGCGATAGTAATGTACTGATGTAACTAACCTCGTATTCTCTACACGCATAAGGCACAGCACACACGCGGCCGGGGTTCGGTAGCTCACAGCAGCTTTTAATAAAAACTTTACGCCTTATTCAATACTTGCTAAGTTGTTGGTTCATTATTGCGAACATATATAGAGCTATTGATGAAAAGTATAAAGCAATTGTGGCATTCACTCAGACAATAATTATTGCAAGAAACGAGGTGACGGTTCAATATGCTGCTTCTTATAAGAAAAATGTCTTAATATTATTCTATAAATTCTTGGACTATAGAAGTAGCTAAATCTTCAAAGAAAACAAAAAATTTAATTTTTCATTGATCAACTTCGACACGGTTGTACTACAATGGACACAGCCTTAAAAGAACGATTCTGTACTAAATCCATTCAAGACATCCAATGTCTATACTTGTAAAGAAAACTAAACAAATTGACAGAAATAATCAAGCCGTGGATAGATGAAACGGTAATGTTGAATCTTCGGCAACATCTGTCTTAAAATTCTAAGAATATCTACAGCAAAGCACTAACTCTGTTATTATAAATCTTTCAATGATGCTGACGAGCTTATGCTAGGACACCAAGCGTAGGCAAGTAATGGAAGAAATTGCTAAGTTTATATTGTTTTGAGGCATTTATTCTACAACTAAGTCATCGCAGTCATGTTATATCCCTTATAATTCTACACTTGAAGCATTTATGACGTCGTGATGACGGCTTAGCGCTGGCTGGATGCATACTTTATAAGAGCACTGAGTGGCATGGCATGGCTTAGCGAAGAACTAAAATAGATAGTAACTGGTCGAATCAGAAACTTTAATAGTCTTAATATATCCGCTTTTAAATCTAGGCTAAGGCTACTAAAATTTCAATCTCATGGATATTTATTTTTTCTTATAACTCTTTTTCTCTGAATGAGAAGTTTACTGAATTTTCTGTCGGCCCTGATATTTTTATCAAGTTTAAAATCATGATCATCTACAGTCTGGCTGCTCAGGTTAAAAATAACGTAGTCCTCCTTAGGTGCGGCGTAGGGTCCGTTTTTTCTAATGTACGAGTACTTGTGCGTGGGTAACTGCGGTAATCCTCGTCTCGCCAACGCGTTGTTCACGTCATGCATGGCAGATTCGATGAGCTCGTGGTGGTCTTGAGTGAAGGGATCCCTACAAAGAGTTGTGAAAAGTATCTATAAGTTGGTCAGTTATTTAAAAGCGAACCAAAGCTGACGAGAGTTATGCGCTTAATCATTAGTGAAATAAAGGAGCTTTCATGGAAACCTGGCTGTTTGCGGACAGAAATAAGCTGCTAAGAGGCTAAAATATCAAGTTAGAATTTCGCAGGCTTCCAGTACGTGGAAGACATGTGCCGCTCATGAACAGTACAAAAGGGGTATATAAAAATCACTTCCAAATTTATAATAATTGCGAATAAGTTCATCAAAACGCTTCGTAGTGTAGAAGATTTCAAATAAGTTCATAAAAACGCTTCATAGTAAAGAAGATATCAGAGGCACCATGCACATTTATTCCAGGTACCTGCTCTTGTAGTAAGCGTCGCGCGTCGCCGTCCTCTTGAATGCACCGTCCGGGAATCGTAAGGCACATTCAAGGCGTTGAGGCTCAGGCTGTATCCTTAGGAAGTTAAGGACTCGCAGCAGCTCCTTCTTTGGGTTGTCCTTCAGGGATTCATAATGAACGACCTCGATGCTCCTGAAATAGCGCACACGAAGATGAAATTGAAATTCAAAAACTCATGTGATAAAATGCCTTGTTGCGTAAATTTGTCTTCAGTTTATAGGATACGAATCAATAAAAAGCTTTTTAGCTTCCAATAATCTATACTTAAATCAAGCCCCAAAAAATATCCATATAATTTAATTTTATCTCGAGGCCCAAATAAGGCTAGGCGAATTGTTCTTAGCTCACCGGCCGTGCATGAGCCAGTCAAGCGCAAACGAGCGCCAGATCAGCGCCTGGCTTCTCACGAACATCTGCCAGTCTGATAAAGAATAAATTATTAATTCTATTTTTTAGGAATTTATGGTTTAAAAAGAATTAGATAAATATATTTTTACTTAGACATATGTACAGTAATACCAATTTTTAATTAGAATGTAAATTTTCATAAAATTCTCTCTGAAATAATAAAATTATTTACAGTTCTGAACTAGTGGAAATTTAAAAACTATTGCTCAACATAAGAGTTTTCTGGATATCTCTTCGTTACATAAGGAATGCTTGCCATCAATGGATTTCCTAACCTACAAACCAAGTGATGAACCAAACCGTCGCCAGTGAACTTAAGAAACAAAAGTTCCACCACAACGTTTACTGACTTCATTTTAGCGCATTTTCTCATTTATGGAAAAAATGTCCCATTGTGCTCGCCATGTCCGTCTGTCCGTCTGTCTGTCTGTCCGTCCGTGACTTCACGTTTCGGTCGACGAGAAAATGCGCTCTCTGTCACTCACTGCAGTGAGTACTGAGTTATATTTTTTGTTTGTCTTCGTGTCTTGAGGAGTCGCATGCAAATTGTGCAGCGACGGCACCGAGGTTTGAAAGAATTTTGCAAAGAGGAAGGCCCTTTTTAAACCGTTTTGACTATTGCGTCGAAGGAACTCTCAGCGAACGATTAACTTCGAGTGCCACTCAACAGTGCCACACAGCTGTGTCACTCATCAGTGCCACTCACCAGTGCCACTCAACAGTGCAACTCTGCAGTGTCACTCAGCAGTATCATTCAATTTGTCACTCAGCAGTGTCGCTCAGAAGCTGTCACTCATCAGTGCCACTCACCAGTGCCACTCAACAGTGCCACTTAGCAGTGTCACTCAGCAGTGCCACTTATTGCCACTCAGCAGTGTCACTCAACAATGTCACTCAACACTGCCACTCAGCAGTGTCACTCAACACTGCCACTCAGCAGTGTCACTCAACACTGCCACTCAGCAGTGTCACTCAACACTGTCACTCAACAGTGTCACTCAACACTGCCACTCAGCAGTGTCACTCAACACTGCCACTCAGCAGTGTCACTCAGTAGTGTTACTCAACAGTGTCACTCAACACTGCCACTCAGCAGTGTCAGTCAACCCTGCCACACAGCAGTGTCGCTCAACAGTGCCACTCAACCGTGCCACTTAACAGTGCCACTCAGCAGTGCCACTCAACCGTGCCACTTAACAGTGCCACTCAGCAGTGCCACTCAACCGTGCCACTCAATAGTGTCACTCAATAGTGTCACTCAATAGTGTCACTCAGCAGTGTCACTCAAAAGTGTCACTCAGCAGTGTCACTCAATAGTGCCACTCAGCACCTTGTTTCCTGAAGGCACTGGGAGGGGCGAGGCCGAGGTGGCCAGCGCCCTGGAAGTTCCTGTAGGAGATGATGCTGTCGTATGGGCTTCTCAGCAGCAGCAGCGCCCGTCTGAAGAAGCGGTCCTGGTCTCGTAGTCTCACTGACCTACGAACATGAAAGTGAAAAATTAAATCAGTACTCACTGCAGTAAGTGACAGAGAGCGCATTTTCTCATCCGTCCGTGAGGTCACGGACAGACAGAGGGGCAGACAGACGGACAGACAGGCGGACAGACAGACGGACGGGCGGACATGACTGTAGCATAATAGCGCCTTTTTTCCATAAATGAGAAAATGCGCTAAAAAATGCAGTAACCATGTATATAATTTAGAACTTTACAAAACATGAGAATCTACATTTAGCTGATTTTAAGGCCATGGCAAAGTTTTATAGTTCTATGTTGTATAAAAGATATATATAGTTCTGTTCTATGTTCTGACTATAATTAATACTTGTGGTGAATGAAATACTTTCCCATACTATATACTGATCAGGAAAAATATCTTCGCAAATTATCACTGATTTTCATATGATATCTTTTTCGCTGAGGTAAAAAGTGAGTTCTATTAAAAACACTTGTGATACATGCATCATTCATTTTAAAAAATCTGGTAATTCATTGTCATATAAAATCAACATAAATTTGACGAGTGGGTTAATTTCAACAAAGGCAAATCTAATTTCTAAGTTACCGGTCCACGGGCACGCCCATGAGGCAGTAGCCGTGCGTTTTGACCGCGACTGTACAGCCGCACTCTGGGCTCACGTTCTCGCCGTAGAAGCCTGCACGCGACAACTTCGTTAAACAACAGTAACTCTGAAAATAATGCGGGATAAATAATGCGTAGAAGCCTGCACGCGACAACTTCGTCAAACAACAGTAACTCTGAAAATAATGCGAGATAAATAATGCGTAGAAGCCTGCACGCGACAACTTCGTCAAACAACAGTAACTCTGAAAATAATGCGGGATAAATAATGCATAGAAGCCTGCACGCGACAACTTCGTCAAACAACAGTAACTCTGAAAATAATGCGAGATAAATAATGCGTAGAAGCTGTACAAAACAACTCCTTCAAACAACAGTAGCTCTGAAAATAATGCGAGATAAATAATGCGTAGAAGCTGTACAAGACAACTCCTTCAAACAACAGTAACTCTGATAATAATGCGAGATAAATAATGCGTAGAAGCCTGCACGCGACAACTCCGTCAGACAACAACTCTGACAATAATGCGAGATAGGGCCAGGTGCAACCCTATTAGAGAAATGGGAAATACCTGTGATGCAAAAAGAGTAATGAAATGTGATCTACCTGCCTACAATGGCAAGGATTGTTTTAATTTGTTCCTTAATTTGCATGTTTTGCATGCGACGTGCATCATTTGTTTTATTCAGTGTATACGAAAACCTCAATTTACACATGTTGCGGCCGCGCATTTTGATACGACGTATTCAGTTCTAACTACTGAAAATTTTCTATGTAGAACTAGGCAAGGCTTGAGTGGATCGAAATTTGTGTCTTTGTTCAGGGCTTGTGATGATGCACAGTGATGCTGTTTGCTCTGTGATTGTGTCTGCACTGTGATGGTGTCTGCACTGTGATGGTGTCTGCACTGTGATGGTATCTGCACTGTGATGGTGTCTGCATTGTGATGGTGTCTGCACTGTGATGGTGTCTGCACTGTGATGGTGTTTGCACTGTGATGGTGTCTGCACTGTGATGGTGTCTGCACTGTGATGGTGTCTGCACTGTGATTGTGTTTGCACTGTGATGGTGTCTGCACTGGGCTTGCGATGGTGCACTGTGATGCTGTTTGCATTGTGATGGTGTCAGCACTGATCGGTAAGGGACTTCTCCGTTATCTTGAATATTCACTATTTAATCTTTGAATATTTCTATTGACATATTGATGTGTACCAAGTGTAAATGTATCATTCTATTAATTTTGGTTTACTTGAGCCTTCTTAATTATTTTGCAGAAACCGTTTGCGCAGATTTTAATAACGAGTCTATCCTCGATGTATTTGACATCCTGCTACGCCTAAATTCTTCAGTAGCAAATATTTGATACGAAAAGCAGCAAATAAATTTATGCTACAGTAGCAAATAAATTTATGCTGCAGTAGCAGTAGTAGTTATACTACAGTTATGCTAGTAGTTATGCTACAGTAGTTTATGCTACAGAAGCAAATGAATTTATGCCTCATCTTTACATGTAATACAATATATTTTTGTCTCTGAGACCCGCACCTCTGGCAGCGAGCTGGCGGTCGCTGTACACTGAGCCCGTGAAGATGCCTGTGCTGCCCTCGATCAGGTATCTGCGCAAGGATTAATGATTTGAAATGTAAAAGCATAATAATACTGAGTTGACGTAGTGCATTCATCGTAAAGATCAAGCATAGTTAGCGTTCAAAATCAGTCCAGTTTATTGTTAAGATCAGTCCAATTTATTCTCCAAATGCCCTCCAGTTGAAAAAAACATAGGCACCGAAATGTTAAATTTTTTTAAAACGTTCTGTACAATACGTTTTAGAATTGTACTTTTTATGTCCAGGTACACAAATGTACACACACACGTGTAAATTCACACAAATAGTACATACAACTGATACGAGCATAAACATAAATGCCTGGGACATACAGGCCCAAACGGCTCCGTACACGGTCATGTGGCTGTCCCGCCTCCGTCGTCCCTACCGTTTTCAGGCATGTTGGTCCCATCATAGGGGCCATGAAGAGCAGCAGGACTTGGTTACAGCTAATGCAGGCATGTTGGTCCCATCATAGGGGCCATGAAGTTGACGTAGTGCATTCATCGTGAAGAGCAAGCATAGTTAGCGTTCAAAATCAGTCCAGTTTATTGTTAAGATCAGTCCAATTTATACTTCAAATTCCCTCCAGTTGGAAAATAAACAGAGTCACCTAAATGTTAAAATTTTTTAAAACGATTTGCACAATACCTTTTAGAATTGTACTTTTTATGTCTAGGTACACAAATGTACACACACACACACACGTGTAAATTCACACAAATAGTACATACAAGCATAAATTGAAGACCAGAGAATTCGTTTTATTGACAATTTTCTTATTAGTTTTTTGCACACACACAAAAAAACTAATAAGAAAATTGTCAATAAAACGGATTCTCTGCTCTTCAATGATACCTGCTTAAAGGAACAAATTTTGCCAACCTATAGTAATATAAGCATAAACATAAATGCCTGGGACATACAGGCACAAACGGCTCCGTGCACGGTCATGTGGCTGTTCCGCCTCCGTCGTCCCTACCGTGGGCAGGCATGCTGGTCCCACTATAGGTTGGTCCTATTAATTCCTGGTCATATTCCTGGTTGTCCTATTCTTGACTGCATGACCCATATTAGTGACACACTTGTTGATCCGTACCAATAACTGTCACCCTGTCTGTCACACTGTTGCATGCTGCAGATACGTGTACGCAACAGCCTCAGCTTTTAGGCGCCGGGCGCCTTGCCGATACCAGTGCCCCTCCTCTATAGCAAGACACTCATCAGATGATTTTCATACAATTGTAACTCGGCACTGACGGCACATGTAACAAACATATTCCATACAACATTAATCGCATGGATCAGTCATCATCAAATCTCCACATCACACCATAACTCACACACATACAACACACCACTCACGCACATACACACACATCCAACACACCACTTAAATTCATACACATACAACACACCACTCACATACTCATACACACAAACACACATATACAACACACCACTCACACACATCAAACACACACTCACATACACACACACATACAACACACCACTCACATATACATACACACACCTAAGCCACGTGTTGCCGGAGCCAGGGTACGAGGCGAGCGCCGTGCGTGGCAGGGAGTGACGTCGTGCGAAGCGAACGCGCAGCGCAGCGCAGGCGCCGTCCGCTGCGGCCGCCCACACCGCGTGCTACGGACGCTCATAGTCCAGCAGCAGCTTCAGGTGACCTGGGCATGCAAACACGCGGTGATGTCACTGATATGTATTGGGGCTGCAGCACACCATCACTAGTAAATAGTAATAGTAGAAAAAGAGGGACCTAGCACTTGCAAACACGCAGTTATGTGTGTTGGGGCTGCCTTGCAGGACACCATCACTGGTTATAGTAGAATAAAAGGGACCTGGGCATGCAAACACGCGGTGATGTGTATTGGAGCCGCCCGGCAGTACACCATCACTAGTAATAGTAGAGTGAATTATCCCTGAGGGTCTCAAAGTGGGACTGATAACGCCAATCCACAAAGGAGGTCCGAGGGACAGACCCCAAAATTACAGACCTGTGACCTTGACCTCACATGTGATCAAGGTTTTTGAGAAGGTAGTGGTCAGGAGGCTTGTCCGGTA